TTATACTTTGTGGATGAAATAATAAAATCTGTTTTTAGATATCGTGCAGCAGGTCCAAATACCCGACTGACAATAAGACCCAGAAAACAAGATATGGATTACATCTGCATTATGTATCTGTGTGTGCCAAGTCGCTCAGTCACCCCCAACTCTTTGTGACCCCCATGAACTGTATCCTGCCAGGCTCTTCTGTCCATGGAATTTTCCAGGCAAGAATTATGGAGTTGGTTGCCATTTCCCCTTCTTCAGAGGATCTTCCCAGTCCAGGAATCAAACCCACATCTCTGGTATCTTCTGCATTGGCAGGTGGATTCTTTATTGCTACCACCATCTGGCCAGACTGTATATTCTCTTCGAGAAAAACAATGTAATGAAGAGTCAAAACTCACATTTTGTTTAAGAAAATGCCTCCAAGGGAAGAGGGGGCGCTCGGGTCTCTAAAAGGAAGAACACAACTCAGCAATCAGTGCATTTATGGAATTAAGCAGTTGAGTGTCGGAAGGTAGAAATAAAAAAAAAAATCACTCGTTGTTGAGCTTGGGATAAAGGGAATCATTTGGGAGGTGTTGGAAAGCAGATCGTGCTTTTAAGCAAGTATATCTCAGGGTGCCGGTGGCCTCCAGCTGTCTGCCTCTGGGAAGTAAGTGAGCGTCTATGCAAACGAAGGCTCCTTCCACGGCAGAACTGAATCTGCCTGCCAAGACCAAGACGCCACAGTCTGAAGAATTCTTTTGCATCCTCACTTTGAACTTGACTCCTGATGGCTTAATTCTTCGCTTGTTGCCAACCCCTCTCTAGACTCTTGCGAGGCCTGAGTTGTGTTTAAGGTTGGCTGCTTCTTGCAGAAGCTCACGGGAGAGAATAAAGCACGTTACGAAAAGAGGCGTCACGTCTAACTCATCAGCACCCCATCCTGCACTCAGCTCCGTGAGATGTAGTTTCACAACAAGTGGCTATGGCACAGCCCTGCCATCCAGCCGGGCAGCAAAAGATGGACCGCAGACTGAAGCTGCCAGTAGCAGCAACTGCTATTTGACAACAGATAACATTCTCTCTCCCTCTTTCTTTTTTAACTTTTTATTTATATTAGAGCATAGCTGATTAATCATGTTGTGATGGTTTCAGGTGGATAGCAAAGGAAGTCAGCCATGTATATACACGTATCCATTCTCCTTCCAAACTCCCCTCCCATCCAGGCTGCCACGTGACATTGAGCAGAGTTCCCTGTGCTGGCCAGCAGGTCCTTGCTGGTTCTCCATGTTAAACACAGCCGTGTGTCCATGTCCATCCCAGACTCCCTGACTGTCCCTTCCCCCATCCTTCCCCCTGGTGACCATCAGGTTATCACAGAGTATTGAGCAGAGTTCCCTGGGCTGTCCAGCGGGTCCTTGCTGGTTCTCCATGTTAAATACAGCCGTGTGTCCATGTCCATCCCAGACTCCCTGACTGTCCTTCCCCCATCCTTCCCCCTGGTGACCATCAGGTTATCACAGAGTACTGAGCAGAGTTCCCTGGGCTGTCCAGCAGGTCCTTGCTGGTTCTCCATGTTAAACACAGCCGTGTGTCCATGTCCATCCCAGACTCCCTGACTGTCCTTCCCCCATCCTTCCCCCTGGTGACCATCAGGTTATCACAGAGTACTGAGCAGAGTTCCCTGGGCTGTCCAGCAGGTCCTTGCTGGTTCTCCATGTTAAACACAGCCGTGTGTCCATGTCCATCCCAGACTCCCTGACTGTCCTTCCCCCATCCTTCCCCCTGGTGATCATCAGGTTATCACAGAGTACTGAGCAGAGTTCCCTGGGCTGTCCAGCAGGTCCTTGCTGGTTCTCCATGTTAAACACAGCCGTGTGTCCACGTCCATCCCAGACTCCCTGACTATCCTTTCCCCTCAACCTTACCCTACCCTGGAAACCGTTAAGTTCTTCGTCTAAGTCTGCGAGTCTCTTTATGTGTTCTAAGTAAGTTCATTTATATCATCTCTTTTTAGATTCCACAAATAAGGGATGTCATATGATATTTTTGCCCCCCTGACTTACTTCACTCAGTAGGAGAATCTCTAGCATCCATGTTGCTGCAAATGGCGTTATTTTATTCTTTTTCATCGCTGAGTAATATTCCACTGTGTATATGTACCACATCCTCTTTATCCAGATAGGGTATATGTGAGTCCTTTTCTTTCACCTGTTCAGTGAAAGACTGGAAGGAGTTCACTCATAAGATCCTTTTACAACTCTGAAATTCTGTGAGCATGGGGTGGCCATATGGGTGATAGAAGTAGGTAGGACTCAGAAAACTAGGGAGCAGTGGTCTTGTGTTGGAACTCTGAGCTGCATGGCATCTGGGTAGAGATACAGAAGCCAGGAGGTCATGCTGCGGGTGAGAATATGAACAGAGACTTAACTCTTTGTTTACCAAGGGATTTTGACAGGAACCAATGCCTCTGGCCAGCGATTTCTATTTCAGCCAGCCAAAAGTGAATGCTGTTGCTTCATTAACACTTTCAGGGGTTACACCTGTCTCACTTGTCGTCTCCAGCACCATGAATTTCATATTCACTTTCTGTATCAGAATCCATCACTAAGGTTTTTTTTTTGTTGGTCTCATATTCACATTGTCTGAATCAGAACTATATTCTGAAGAACTAGCATTTTCTAAAACACTAGTATATATGTTGCTGAGACAATCAGAGAAAGTACCTGCAAAACTTCACTGAAAATTCTTCTCCACTCAACATTTCAAGTCGTGTCATTTTTTAAAATGTTATGATAATAAACTTGCATTTATCATGTGACTCAGCTGGGAGAGAATCTGCCTGCAATGCAGGAGACCTGGGTTCGATTCCTGGGTTGGGAAGATCTGCTGGAGAAGGGAAAGGCTACCCACTGCGGTGTTCTGGCCTGCAGAATTCCAAGGACTGTAGAGTCCAATTGGTAGCAAGTGTCAGACACGACTGAGTGACTTTCTCACTCAGTGTCAGACAGTGACATGAGTGCGCTGGTCAGATTTCATGCGTCCTCAGACGACATGCCAGTTCAACGAGTTAATCCTAGATGTGTAGGAATCGCCAGGAAGTGATTCAGTGTGTGAAGCAATTAAAGCTTCCACTGCCGCATGATGCAGAAGGCAGATGATGTATGAATGTGATCCCACTGTGTCATGTTCAAATTCCCTATGTGCTTTTAAGGAGTGATGGCTCAATTGGTAAAGAATCCACCTGCAATGCAGGAGACCCCAGTTCGATTCCTGGGTTGGGAAGATCCTCTGGAGAAGGGATAGGCTACCCACTCCAGTATTCTCAGGCTTCCCTGGTGGATCAGCTGGTAAAGAATCTGCCTGCACTGTAGGAGACCTGGGTTCGATTCCTGGGTTGAGAAGATCCCCTGGAGAAGGGACAGGCTACCCATCCAGGATCCTGGCCTGGAGAATTCCATGGACTGTATAGTCCACAGGGTCACAAAGAGTCAGACATGACTGAGCGACTTTCACTTCCACACTGCCTAGTATGAATTAGAAGAGAAATAGGTGGAAAAAAAGGGTGAGGTAGGGTTCCTTATATACACAGACAGACAAGAAATTTAGAAATAGATTTAAAAGGTGGAGGTGTACCTTTGGATGAGGGAGGGTATCATCACCACCGACTAGATTTATGGTATTTAAAGCTTATGTGTATCCACTAGACTTGTGCAGGTTCAGAAAGACACATACCAAAAGCAACCAAGAAAGGAAACGGGATATCTTTGTACCCCCACAGAATTTTCATTGGATAATCATTTCTGAACTGATGCTGAAGCTCCAATACTCTGATGCAAGGAGATGATCCATTGGGAAAGACCCTGATGCTGGGAAAGATTGAGGGCGGGAAGAGAAGGGGATGACAGAGGATGAGATGGTTGGATGGCGTCACCAACTCAATGGACATGGGTTTGGGTGAACTCCAGGAGTTGGTGATGGACAGGGAAGCCTGGCATGCTGCAGTCCATGGGGTCACAAAGGATCAGACCCTACTGAGTCACTGAACAACAGCTACAGCACACCCTAAAATCATTGCAGGAAGACAGGGAGTCTGATGGAATAGAGCAAATAGACTAATAAGGACAAAGCACGCCTTAGTCTTAAGGGCTTGGACTTTGGTCAGGCTAGCTCTGCCCTGGAGTGGGGGCGGTCCAGAGGGCCTTTAAGGTGGAAAATGCAATTTCCCCATCCTTGCACGTCCTATCCACGAGAACATACCTGTTGCATCTGTAACCGTTAACTGTGAGGGATGCTTCACTAAGCCTTCCTCTGCTTGCCTCACACGAATCTCAGCAGACAGGAAAAACCGAGCTCCTCTGCCACAGTGTCATCATGGGGCAGAGTGAGTCCTAAAGGCTGAACTGGCTGTTTAATGCTTGATCAGCCTCAGGGTGTCTCCATGTGGGCGCTAGGGACATTCTGGGTGGGACGCACCTTGTGTGTGTGTGATGGGAGGTGGGGGTGTGGCAGGGGGGGCGGTGGCGTCCTGTGCACCGTTTAGCAAGCATTCCTAGCGTCTACTTCCGAGCAACGCGGGACAATCTTCTCATTCAGACAGAGAGAAATGTCTCCAGACGTTGTCACAGTTCCCCTTGGGGACCCAATTACCTCTGGTTTCCCCCTTTTAGCAGCTAAGCTCAGCCAGACACCTTACATTTGTCTGAATGAAAGAATGAAAGAGTTATTTTCCTAGTGAGGGTGACTCTCCCTGTAAATGCCAGACTCCCCCGACACCAAACACATCTTCTCCCGGTCCGTGCCACACAACTTTATGAACACAAAGATCATTTGGCAGAAATCTAAACAGTAGATTTCCTACTAGGTGGCCTTGGTTATAGCAGGAAAGCCGTACCCACCTCCATCAGGATTTGGGGGACGTAAGATTGCAGAAAAAAAAAATAGGGCGTTTGCAAATGGCCATCCATTTCTGTTATAAACAGCAGTTCGATAAACAGTATTAAATTTCTGAAAAGATTGCATTCCACACCCTAAGACTGCTTCCGAAGCTGGGTCTGGGGAATGTTTTTTGCGGGGGAAGGCGGTGGTAGAGACATTCCTTCCGAGCCTCCCAGGCGCGTTCTCACACCCATGACGAACCGGCCCAGGAATGCGCTCAGAAGCCAAGCTGAGCCCCTGCGCGCCTTGTCTTCCTGGCACTGAAACCCCAGCAGGCCCGCCAGGGTGGCGTTCCGGGCTCTGGGAAAACCTCGGTCAATAGGCTCATTGAAGCGCATCCATGAAAATGAGGGCGCTTTGCAACTGGCAGGGCGTTCAAAGGATTCCAGAGTGGCCCGGGCCGGGGGGAGGTGGGGCATTCTTTGGCAAGGAAAGGAGCCAGTAAGAAATCCGAAAGGATGCCCGTGCTTACAGGGAAGTCTGAAAAGCTGCGTGCTCAACTACCGCATAAAAGGAAGCTATTTATGATATTTCAGACGCTAAACTCCAAGTCCAGGCCACCTGTGTGTGCGCAGCACTGTAAGACGCTAAGGGGGCCAGCCAATCCCGCCTTTATGCACATAAGACGCACGTGCTCCTTAGACGCACGTGTTCCTTAGACTTACGTGTTGCTTACACACACATGCTCCTTAGACGCACGTGCTCCTTAGACGCACACGTTCCTTAGGCGTTACGCTCTCCGTGCTCCGTAAGCCGCGCCCTCCCTTCCCGAGGGGCATGAAGCGCAATGATTATGCCCTGACTGTCTGCTGCATGCCGAGTCGCTGTGCAAAGGACCCCAGAGCCAGGCTCCTCTGCAGAGCGGAGCTGGATGAAAGGGATCAAAAAGGTTTTCGTTTACGTCTTGAGTGTGGTGTTGTGTTTCTCTTTCAGAGATGGGGAGCTGCCTGGTCATCAAGCATCCACTTGGAGGATGTGCTCAGTTGCCCAGTCGTGTCCGGCTCTTTGCGACCCCGTGGCCCGAAGTCCGCCAAGCTCCTCTGTCCATGGGGGTTCTCCAGGCAAGAATACTGGAGTGGGTAGCCTCTCGGATGAAGGTATGCCAAAGCCCGGCATCCTGCGCTCAGCACGGAGGTTCCTTAGCATTTGTAAAATTAGGCGGTAGGCTTGGACACTCTCCCCACTTCTCCCTGCTCTGTAGCTGGAGGAAAACAAGTGGCATCGTGGACCTTGATTTCTTCTGTTAAGTCGAAGTGGGAGTCGCTCAGCCGTGTCCGGCTCTTTGTGACCCCATGGACTGTAGCCCACCAGGCTCCTCTGTCCATAGGATTCTCCAGGCAAGAATACTGCAGTGGGTGGCCATTCCCTTCTCCAGGGGATCTTCGTGACCCACGGATCCAACCCGGGTCTCCCGCCCTGCAGGAAGACTCTTTACTGTCTGTGCCGCCAGAGAAGCACCTTTTTAATCCCTGGAGCCTTCATGCGATTCAGTGAGGCTGGCACCACGCTCCCGTCTTTCTGCTTATGGTATGGGGGCTCCCACCCGCCTCAGCGTCCCATCAGTTCTGCTGGTTCCCCCTGGGATCTCTGAGATCTCACCAGGCATCCTGCACCTGCCAGTCTAGGCGAGCACCTTCTGACCTTCACGTCTCCTCGCAGCGTTTCTCCTCCTTGGCGGACACAGTCAAGAACCTCACACGCTCACCTCTGAGTCCCTCTCCTCCCAACAGGACCGGAACCCCCAGAGAGGGCGGAGCACCCAATTGTGACGTCAGAGTGGCCACACGGTTTCCAGGGCAACCAGGCTGCCCGGAGGACCTAGGCCCGAAGGGGGCCCCTGGTCCTGGGCGAGGCGCCCTCTGCTGGCCTTGGGATTCCTCACGCCACCCGGGGAGCCTGCCACTGGTGTTGGAGCCTCTGAAAAAGACTGCCGCCTCCTTGTCCAGGAAAGCACCTTCCCTAGTCCCTTAAGACTCACATTTGGGGGAAACCGCACAGAAGGTTTCTGTGGACTGCAGAGAGAGGTGAAAAGAAGCATTCTTACTATATGCATGTATATATATATACACACACACCTATGACCAATTCTTGTTGATGGATGGCAGAAGCCAACACAGCATTGTAAAGCAGTTATCCTCCCAATTGAAGATAAATCGGTTTTGAAAAGAAGATAAATCGGTTTAGAACAGTATTATTTGTTAGCAATGTACCAGACAGCCGTAGATATGATGTGGTACGACAGCCCGGGGTTCCCTGTTCATAAATGTGTAGGCGTGAGTGCCCTGCGCATCCCAAAGCTGCAGCAGACGGAAGCTGTGGCCCTCAACGCAGACGCACTTCTCCTAGGTAAACCAAAGTGTGTGAAAACCCCTCAGTCGTGTCCGAGGCTTTGGGACCCAGTGGACTGTAGCCTGCCAGGCTCCTCTGTCCATGGGATTCTCCAGGCAAGGACACTGGTGTGGGTTGTCATTTCCTTCTCCAGGTGGTCCTCCTGACCCAGGGATTGAACCTGGGTCTCCTGCATGGCAGGCAGATTCTTTACCATCTCAGCCACCAGGGAGATGGCTCAAGCCTGCCTTCAAATGATAAAGCAGAAAAAGCAATACAGGAAATGCAAAGGATTTGAAATCTGGGCAACATTTTGCTGCTTCTATCTTTTATGCTTGTGTTACTCACATGTGAGATAAAGTTAGTTAGTTGCAGAATTTTTTTTAAAGTAGTACAGGTGTAAAAATCAATAAACACCTGCTAGATCAATCATTGCCTCTCAAGGAGACCACCTGACCGATCAATATGTCCACAAGATCATTTCTTAAATGTCAAGTGACCAGTTAGTTTTCCTAAACTAGCTGTTAGTTTAAAGCTTCAGGAACGCCCCCACCCCACCCCAACTCTGGAGTATCTCTGCGTACACCTGTGCATTGCAAAAGCTTCACCCCAAGTGCACGGAGACCAGATTACCCTGTGTGTTGCCAGCAGCCTAAGAGCTCATGAACTTTTCCCGCAGCGAGGTGGTTTTTCCAGAAAGCCCAGGGCAATTAAGAGAAGAGAATCTGTCTGGCTAAACCGGTGCCAAGGAAAAGATGAGATACAAAAAGTTCACTGGTGGCAAAGCAGGGCAAACGCTTGCTTCATGGTTAACAGACGCTGTATCCTTTCCACCAGTGAGTAATTCCTGGTGGAATACATGGATGATATATGCAAACCGAACGATCGCATCACAAAGAATACTCTTTTATTATTGGTGAGAATGACTTCAAGCTTGTGGGATGCAAGGATCACAAAAGAACCAAAAGAAAAACTGTGACCGGATTATTTTAGGATTGGACCCAATTTCTCGGTATTTAGTGAGATGCTGAAATGCATGTTTATTTTTTTTTATTGGAAGATAATTGCTTTGCAGTGTTGTTAGTTTCCGCTGTACAATGACGTGTGTAAGCCATATGTATACATATACTGCCTCCCTCTTGAGCTTAGATCCTTTGGAACCACCCCCATCCCACCCCTCTAGGTCATCCCAGAGCACCAAGTGGAGTTCTCTGTGCTATATAGCAGCATCCTCTTAGCTATCTATTTTGCACACAGTAGTATATAGATAGATGGGCTTCCCAGGTAGCTCAGCGGGTAAAGAATCCACCTGCCATGTAGCAGACGCCGGGGATTGAAGGTTTGAACCCTGGGTGGGGACGATCTACTGCAGGAGGAAATGGCAGCCCACTCCAGTATTCTTGCCTGGAGATTCCCATGGACGCAGGAGCCTGGCGGGCTACAGTCCATGGGGTCGCAGAGAATCGGACACGGCTAAAGTGACTCAGCACACACCATGTATATATGTCAACGCTGTATGTCATTTTGTCCAACCCTCTGCTTCCCCTGCTGGGTCCACAAGTCCAGAGGCATCTGTTCCTGCTTCTGCCCAGGCAGCCTCTCTCCCTTCCTTCCACAAGCCTTTCTTTGAGAACTGGAATCTAAAGACAATCTCAGAGAATAACTGATACACGCAGAATGAGCACGGGGGGATGGTGGGAGGACCCAAGAAGAAACTGTTTTAACCTTTCTGTTCAATTACCCAGCATTAAATCCCCCATTATCCTAAAAGGCTCATCAGCCACCATGAAAAATTTAAATTGTCAAAAATAAAACAGGGAGGTAAATATAGAGAGAACGCAAAGTTGGCCACATTGCATAAAGATGAAGCAGGCTGCTAAGACGTTGCCAAAATTAGGACCGGTGGGTATCAATAAAGCCATGGTACATGTTACCATGTGTAGCAACTGATACACGTGTCTGGGGAGGGGGGGTCTCTTCCAAAAAGTGAATGTCACTAAAAAAAAAGCAGCAACAGCAACGACATAATGAGGGGGAGAAAGTGGAATTAAAAAGCCTAAAGCACCATATTTAACATGGAGAACCAGCAAGGACCTGCTGGACAGGACAGGGAACTCTGCTCAATGTCATGTAACAGCCTGGATGGAAGGGGAGTTTGGGGGAGAATGGATACACGTATATGCTGAATCCATGGGTTGTCCACCTGAAACCATCACAATACTGTTAATCGGCTATACCCCGGTATGAAATAAAAAGTTTAAAGGAAGCTGACAACGTGCAACATAAGAATTTTTTTTCTGTTTATTGATATTAGTTTCTATTGTGTTCCCCCAGCTGTGTCTCAGAATCCACAGAGTAGTTTTGTCTGAGTTCACGCCGGGTGGACACGGGCACAGGTGAGTGGGAAGCCTCCCGAGAGATGGAGACCCAGGTACAAAAGCAGAATCGGAAGAGAGCTGCTACTCCGTCTGTGAAACCCTGAGTGGGTCTCCATGGGTCTCTACCACCTCGCACACATGGGAGGCATACACTGACAGCAGCTCCTAATTCTTGATGAGACCATGCATTCAGACAGTGACCTGGCCCACACCCTCTCGACCATTTATTTCTAGACTGTTTAATGATGGCCATTCTGCCCCGTGTGAGGTGATTCAGTTCAGTTCAGTCGCTCCGTCGTGTCCGACTCTTTGCGACGCCATGAATCGCAGCACGCCAGGCCTCCCTGTCCATCACCAACTCCAGGAGTTTACTCAAACTCATGTCCATCGAGTCGGCGATGCCATCCATCCATCTTATCCTCTGTCGTCCCCTTCTCCTCCTGCCTTCAATCTTTCCCAGCATCAGGGTCTTTCCCAGTGAGTCAGTTCTTCGCATCAGGTGGCCAAAATATTGAGCTGATTACCTCATTGTGACTCTGACTTCCCTTTTTCTAGTAATTATAGTGATGCTGTGCATCTTATCATGCGATTGTTGGCCATCCATGTGTCCTGTTTGGAGAAATGTCTATCAGGGTCTTGCGCTTATTTTTCAGTTGGGTTGTTTGGTTTTCTTTTTGTTATGTCTGCATTCAGAGCGCAGTGCTAATGTGTAGT